TTCTGGAAGTTGCCATTTCTCCAACGTTCACCCTTTCCTCTTACAGTATTTTTCTGACTTATGTAATAATTCCAGCTCAAGTAGACATTTTAGTACCTTTTATTTTGTGTAACCTTTATTTCTTATAAAGTTTAAACATTCCTCAACCCCTCTGTCCTTCTCATCACTATATTTTGTCCAGTTCTTTATTCTAATACTTATCTCAAAATGAATGTTGCTAATAAATCCAGTATATTGAGTTTATTATCGCTCATTTGGTACATGCTGAGCTTGGAATTAGAATGGATGTTGATTCTGCCATAGAAGAGCTTTTCAGTCCTTCTGTCATTTTGCCTCTCCTCTCTCCTTTGACTTCATTCTCTGAAAAGTCATTTGAATTAAATTGATCAGAGACAAGATTTTGGAACTAAACTACTTCACTGGAAATGAGGATAAAACCAAGATTTGTGTTTCAATGAGTAAATGCTAAAATTTCCCTCTAGATTTTTTTCATTATTTCATGAGTCTGCCTCTGCCTGAAAAATGAAAACAGGCTTGGCAATTTGAACTGACAGTGGATTTCTCTAAGGTATTTGATTGCACTGTCACTGCAATGAATACATGACTGCAGCCTCCGAGTCAAGCTTTGTAGGAGCTGATTTTTACAGTAGCTAAATGTTGGCCCAGCTACCACCTAACTTGCATGAACTCCAGTATCTGTCAAGCACAATTTCTACTTCTTTGGCATGCCTTACTTTTCATTCTGTAAATATTTTATTTTCCTTTTTTTTTCTTAAACTAAGATGCATTTTTCGTAATCTGAATACATTTTTTTCATAAACTTCTGGGATATTTTAGTGGCTGATTTTTGTTTGTTTACATTGTTATGAGCCTGGCAGGATAACATGGAGATAAAGCAGAGATCCACTTGGTTTTTTTTAATAAATTTTGGAACATTGATACTGGCTTGTAATAGCTTGACCGCTTTTGCATAAAATCTGCATTTTGAAATTACAGTCATTTTGCTGACCTTGTACATGTAAAGATATATTAAAAAAGATAATATTATCAAGGTTGCATGGCTGATGGGGATCTAGAGGTATTGGAGTAGCTTTTACTCCATGTTCACAGGCAGCCACAGGATTTTAATTGTGTTGCCTTGATTGTGCTCTGTCATTCGTTAGTACTTGAGGCAGCTTGTGCAGCTGTAACTCAGGTATCCTTGTATGGTGGCCTGTCTCCTGGAGGAGATGTACCTGCTGTCCACATCGTACGTAGATCTCTTTCTGTCGTTTTGTTCAGCAACACACAAGCCTTCTCTGGCAAATAAAGTAAATGAGGAAATTAAAGAGAAGCTGCCTAAAGATTTATTTACTGTATGAAAATCCAGCATGGTGATTGGCTGCCTGAGCCTGAGTGACAAGCTGGGAAGGAGAAAAAAGCAAACCTGCAGCTGTGTAGGAGTAATGAATGTGTAACACAAGTAGCGTCTTCATGAAAACAAATGAGCTTTAAAAAAATAATTTAATACAAATGCATGTCTGTTAATAAAATGACTAAGCAAGATTTGTGTTTCCTGAGAGTATCAAAAAACATTCAACCGAAAATGAATATATGTGATGCCATGCGCTGTTTAGTCAGGATTACTAGCTAGCACTAAGCCGCACTATCGGCCAAAGCACAAGCTTTTAATCTCTGAATGCTTGAATTGTTCTTAATATTTTTCAAAATCTAAATTGGGTCATAAATGTTTTGGCAGTTTCAGATTAGCAGCATAGGGGGTGGAGGGCATTATAAAACACACCATGTGATAGAACAGTTGAGTGCACTGATTACTAGGCTGCGCAAGTAGATAGAGCCAAGTGGGAGGGCACCTTCACATCAGGAATGAGGGGTGCTGGCCCTGCGGTCAGAGGAAAATCCTGCGTAGTGCCTTCCTGTGCCATGCGTGACTGGCCGATTATCTCGGTCCTTCATGAAGCCCTGTATTCCCTCAGCGGATATTTTGAAACCACCTGCTAGTCAAGGATCAGCTCCGTTCACTAACAAAGGCTCGACAATCTAACACAACAGGAGAATTTCTCCTAAATAGCTCCTGGGAAGGTCTAGAAAAGGTAAATGTCCTTGGTGAAGGCCACCCTGCTAAAGGGCAGGGAGAATGCAGGAGAAAAACACAGATTGAGCATGAGGGAAAAAGATCAGAAAAAGAGTGAAAGGATTGTTCAGTACCTGCGGAACACGTTACCTCAGAGTACTGCGATATGAAGGAAGAAAAAAAATACACACCTGAAACAGACATGATACAAGAAACTGGGCTATTTAGCTTGCATATTTAGTTGACACGTTATCTCAGGGGATGAAGTTGACTAAATAAGCTAAATTAAAAGCCTAGCACAGAAAAATAACTTATACCAGCCCCCCAAAAACATAAAAGCAGTGATCTTCTTTAAAGCTAGTCTGTTTCCTCTCAAATATCATCCAGTGTTTTGCATTATAACTTACATAAAAATACCAACAAGCACAGTCGTTGTGAATAATATTTTTCAGACTTCTCTTGGCATTAAGTACACCTCATTAATTTGACTTGCATTCTTCTGTCATCCCTGTAGCAGCTGAAACAAATGATTTCATGGAAATATCACATTAGTCCATTTTGCATACATGTATTATTATGCAATCTTTTATTGCCCATTCACATTCAGATTTTCTTGAATGGCTCTTCTTCCCTGTTTAAACTACTGTTTCCTTATTCCAAACAAAGAAATACTCTTTTCCTCTTATTTTTCCCCTCTGTACTTTTGAAGTGTGTGCATGATTTATAAACATTTATATTCAAAACTTTTCTAAATTGTGAGGACATACTATGGTTGTTCCTAGGCAGAGGATGAAATGAAGATCAGAGTGGCTATATTTTAAAGTCTTTTCTCATTTTGAATACTCACCTGGAAAAAAAAATCAGATCTGTCTTTTAATGAGTATTTAACATTCTGTTCCCCTATAGACATGGCTACAACAGTGTCTGATTTGAACATGTGACATTTTTAATCCTAGAGTTTTTACATGTACTGCACAAGAAGTATGATTTCACAACTAAATTGTATACATAGATAGTGTTAAAACATGTGCTTCCACTTGGTGTTTTTCAAGTTCTTTTCTAACAGCTCAATAATGTTAAGATTCTGGACCCCTTGACCCAGTGCTGTTTCTGGAGGGATATTGCCTTATGGCATATATAAGGCTTGTAGAATTTGGCCTGATTTGTTTGCTTCTGTCCAATATTTTTAGCTTTGTTCTCTGTGAAAACCTATAGAATTATTTAGTGCATGTTGCTGCCTCTCTACTTTTTCCTAAACTGTCTGCCTGCTCTTGCCTACTTTTTTATATCCATACCCCTCTGTTCCTTCTTGTCCCTATATTCTGGTGTTCCAGCTGCACAGCTTTTTCGCTCATTCTCACTTTATTGAAAAGCAAGAGGAGAAAGGTGATTGTAATGAGCCAGCTTTGTACATTATCATGTATTTTTCTGCTGCCCAGATGAAGTCATTGCAGGGAAAGAACTGCTTAGTTTCTGCAGCAGTGAATGATGGAAAATCCTCACCACAGGCCAACCTGGAACAGTGACCATGCCCCAAGCTAGAACTGTTACACCTACATCAGTACCACCGAGTATTCAGAGAACACAGCTGCTATATTTCAACTGATCTTTTCTGAACAGTGGTGAATTGTGATTTTTCAAAAAGCAAAAGTACTTCATTAAATCTAGGAGATTTTCCACAGAGTTGTATTAGGAAAGTTAGAATAGGAGCATCCAACGTGTTGAAATCTTGAGTGGTTCCAGTGTAAATCTGCCACCAGGACAACTGGATATCCCTGGCTTGTGCAGATGGTTTGGTCAGTCCAGATCTGCAGCTGTGGAAGCAATGATACTGCAGTGATTGCTTCAGGCTGATCTTGTCAGATGATGTGGGAACCCCACCCCATTTAGCCCTGGCTGTCGTAGAATGGGAGGATCCCTAGTGAATTTTTGTCATGTCCAACCCATGCACTGTTTGTAGGATTTCCCTTTCCCTCATGTCTCAGGTGTGTAATATTTCCTGCATGGCTCTGAGCCACTTGAAGATTTAGGGATACTGCTCAAGAGGATAGAAAGGTTGGCCAGCCCGGTGCTGAGTCAACTGCCAAAATTGGCTGAAATGGTTTTCAGACTGAGCATATGATGGGTGACTTTCCCAGCATCGTGCTTTGGAAAACAGCCAAATTGGTTCAGCTACAGCTTTCAGAGAAGAATAATGTGGGAAATCTCAACTGGAAATTTTCTTTTTAGCAAACACAAAAATCAGTAAACATGGAGCTTACCATCCAGGACTCGAGGAACAATATTAACGCTCTAAAACGGTTAGGCTTCTGTTACTATTACTCTTCATTACTGAAATAGCTGTACTATTTTTTTCATCATTTACACTCACTGATACAGTAGTTCACTTACTGTGAGCATTTAGCTGTACGTTGTTTTGGTACACACGCTATATTGTGCTATTAAAAAACACTGCTGGAAAAGGTGATGTTTGGTATTGATCAGGTGTATAATGCCTTCTTATTTGGACTGTGATGAAATTTAATAATCTCAGAAGTAATTCTAATGTGTCATGCGTTTCCTGAAAGTATAGGAAATAAAGGAGCTTTTTTACCTCCTGGGACATATGTTTAATTAAGTTATTGTCTTTCTGTAAAATGTGGCCAGAAATAATGTATGTGCTCAAAATGCTTACTGGTTTAATAGATCAAATGATGAAATAGTGTTCTGCTTTAGACACAGACAAGCTCTTGAGCTCTTACAGCATGGTTATTGTTCTTTTCTAGCTGCTTCATATGAGAATGTAATGCAGGGTGATTACTGAAGTTTTTATCTGGTTGATTACCGTGTTAACCTGGCACTCCAGTAAATTGTCAGAACATTATGCATGAGAGCGCTTTAGCACACAAGCACACTGTGGTTTTCATTTTATTTTACTGTTTTGTAGGATTGCATTGATGTGGGTTGGTGGGAAGGAGAACTCAATGGCAGACGAGGAGTGTTTCCAGATAACTTTGTCAAGCTTCTTCCTTCTGATTTTGAAAAAGAGGTAAGCAATATATTCTTTCATTTCTGCTTTAAAATATAGAATGAAAGTGGAGTTGAAAGAAATTTTATTTCAGATATGTGCTTTTGACAAAGTCTTACTTCTAACTTAATAACAAAAAAACACTAAAGGAAACAAATTTCTGGGTTACAAAATATCCATGAAAAGAACATGTGGCACTCCAAGTCATATTGTGTAGTTTCTCTAAAGAGTTTGATTAACCTGTCTAGTCAGTCCGCCTCCACTACATTGCTCTGAAAGCCCTCTGTTCTTTGTCCTGCCTTTGAGAGAGGAGCTGGAGGTCCCCACTTGCTGAGTCAGATGATGCAGTGGTGACCAGAATTGTTAACTTTTCTCCATTGTTTTTGTGGTGGAATATGAAAAGTTAGTGTACCACCTGCATGCTGACTGCCAGCAGTCAAGCCACCTTCCAGAATGAAAAGGGTGAAATTTTACCTGTGAGTTTCAAAAGACACCACTGAGCTTTTGGTATCTCAGAGCCATGTTTCTTTACCTCTCTCAGAATTATTTTAAAAGAAGGTATAGTCACAGAATCACAGAATCTCAGGAGTTGGAAGGGACCTCGAAAGATCATCCAGTTCAACCCCCCTGCCAGAGCAGGATCACCTAAACTAGGTCACACTGGAACTCGTCCAGGTTGGTTTTGAATGTCTCCAGAGAAGAAGACTCCACAACCTCTCTGGGCAGCCTGTTCCAGTGCTCTGTAACCCTCACAGTAAAAAAGTTTTTCCTCATGTTCAGATTGAACCTCCTATGTTCCAGCTTGCTCCCATTGCCCCTTGTCCTGTCATTGGACATCAGAGAGAAGAGCCTGGTTCCTTCCTCCTGACACTCACCCTTTACAAATTTATAAACATGAATGAGGTCACCCCTCAGTCTCCTCTTCTCCAAGCTGAAGAGACCCAGCTCCCTCAGCCGCTCCTCATAAGGGAGATCCTCCACTCCCTCGATCATCCTTGTGGCCCTGCGCTGGACTCTTTCAAGCAACTCCCTGTCCTTCTTGAACTGAGGGGCCCAGAATTGAACACAATATTCCAAATGCGGTCTCACCAGGGCAGAGTAGAGGGGAAGGAGAACCTCTCTCGACCTACAAACCACACCCCTTCTGATACACCCCAGGATGCCATTGGCTTTCTTGGCTGCAAGGGCACATAATATCTATGCAGAAGCTTTTCCAGCTTCTGCTTATTTGAAAGAGACATCATGTTACTTGCCAAACAATATTTAGAAATCCTGCAGCTTCCAGGAAGAAAGTAATGGATTACTTCCCTCAAAAATCCATTCCATTTTTAGGCACCTTTTCTGTCATCAGTGGGATATTACGAGCTTGCAATCAGGCTTTTGATGAGTATTTCACAGTGACAGTGTAAGCCTTCTGTGATAAAACCGAGACTTACAGACACTCAGCTTCAGTCTTTGGCAATAAAATTGGATGCTGGAGGCAAAAATTAAATAACTTGGAAAGTTTAATAAAGCAACTATTAAACAACTCACAGAAGCTAACATAATAATTACTGAAAATGAAAGTAGAAGAGCAGCAAAAACTGGGGGAGATGAAAACACAGTTCCATAGCAGAGTGAATATCCCAGCTTTAGGCCTAGTAATAAAAGAAGGTGATTTCCAGAAGAGGCAGAAATCATAAATCTTAAGACATAGTGAGCCTATTAGAGGGGGAAAAAGTCTTTAATCTCATCTATTATATTTTTTTTAGTCATAAAATTTATTCAGTCTTTTTGAACTTAAAAATTCTATATCTTTTAAGGTTTTTTTTCTTTAGAGTAATATGGATATAACTTGTAGAACAAATTGAATATTCAGACACTTAGCAATTGCAGCTAGGCTTGCTGTAAATGTGGAGAATACAATTTCATTAGTTTTTAAAATGGCACAGATTTGGCTATATGAGCAAGTAACTGGTAGGACTACAGACTGTCTGTCTTTGCTCAAATTGGTCCTAAAAGGGAAGGAAATTGATACTTTTCCAGTGGTTTTAGTCAGGTATTTTCTCATGTGATCCAGAAGCCTTGGATTCCATCCCATGGTCTGAAAGTACTTGTCGCAGTGCTCCTTCTGCTCATTGAACAAAAGCTTGGGATCTTTTCCCATCTCCATCTTCAGTCCCCCATCTTCCAATCCTCATTCTTTTCCACACGTAGCTATTCTTCTCAGGCCTTTTCTATTCACTACCTAGTACCAGTCTCCACCTCTCAGGTGGTCTCAATTACAGGATTTTCCCCTGAGGTCACTACCTGAGCCTAAATCACCATATGGATTTACTTTCTATCCCTACACCCAATTTCTTTATCCAGCTTGTTTTCCGCTCTCCTCTCATTCTTTGTCCCTGCTCTGTAGTTTTGTTCTATTCTTGTCCAACCAATCCTGGTTTCCTTGCTGTTGGCTTCATTTCTAGTCTGTCTCCTTCTCAGTTATCTCATCAAGCCACAGGCCCTTGTAATTCCTTCTTGCTTCTCCATGTTTTCCTCAGAAGTCTTAAGGCTCCTTCATGCTACCTCCTTTCTGATCTTTGTCTGCCTTTTTGAAACAATATATTTCCCTCGTCAGCTTCCAGTTAAAGCCACTTTGTCTAATGAACCATAGGATCCTTTGTCCTTTGTGTTTATCTACATTAGAATTTTAGTTTTAGTCAGGAGTGGGGTTTGTAGTGAATCTCTCACTTGTCTATGTGCACTTGCTATGCTTTGGTTTGCCTCAAAGACAGGTCTCAGGGGACATGGACTAGACTTCTTTCACATGAGAACTAAACCAAAAGATGTGCTGAAGGAATGCATCTAATATATTGCAGCTGCTGACCTGTGGATAGTGGCTCACACCACTCCAGAATAAAACGCCAAACGTGTATATTGAGCTGTTGGATCCTCAGCACCAACTATTTCACTCTGCAGCCGTTATCAACCAAACCCCAATTTCTATCACAAGACAGTCACTGTCCCTGTCTTCTTTCCTTTCCACATTTTCTGCATTTAAACCTTGAACCATGTTGCCTGAACTCTTGCAGAAGTGTCTCTGAGAGTGTAAGGGACAATAGCCCATGGCAGCCAAGCTAAAGATCATTCTGAGCTCCTGTGTTCTTGGCCACAGCTTTCCCAGGTTGATGACAGGAGGTGATCTGGTGAGGATAAGCTGGTAGGAGACACCTGAGGCTTGCAGGATGGTAGCTTCAGAGATTTAGGCTGTTAGACTTAGTCTGCAAAATTGGTGTTGGTTTGGTTTTTTTTCTGGAGGTGAATATATTTGCTAGATTTGAGAGAGATCCCTCAGGAAGGGTGAGTGGCAAGGGCTCAGCCTTCACAGAAAACCTGCTCCCTGTCAACGTTCAGATTAAGACTTCAGAGTTCTAGGGCAGAAGCTGAACTAATTACTGCAAGTAAGCAAAACAATTGATCTTTCTTGAAAGTAGGTGAGGATTTTGACAGAAATACAGAAAATAATAGAGGGGGGAAAATCAACATGAGTTTGATAGAAAATATCAACCTAAATGGTTGGTTGAAGTTTGGCAAAGCTACGCACATCTGGAAACATAATCTTTTGGATAGTTCCACAAGACAATATACAGTGTTACATAGCCAGCAATGTAGTGACAGTGATTGTTATTGATCTGTAGCAAAGGAAATAAGGTTGTTCTCAGAAAAAAGGATGAACATATGAAGAAAGCAGTTATTAAATTTTAGTTGGGCTTTATTTTTAATGAATTTTTTTTAATTTTTAAGAGTGAGAGTTAAGGTATGTCAATTGACCTGGCATGGTGCTCCATTTGCTTTTGTGTTCATTCCATGATGTACGTAGTGTATGGTGGTATGGTGTGTCTGCATACACACACATGAACACAGAAAGCAAGCTGTTCCTTCCCTAGCCTGCAGGTGAAGAGTAATGGTTCTGGCGCTGATGTTGTGGTTTTGTTTCTCAGCCATACTGTTTCAGATCTATTAGGAAAAAAATCATAACAGAGAAGGTAAAAGTAAAAAAATACAGATTCACCAAACATCTAAAGCTCTCATAACTTCCTTTCACAATTGGAGCTTTAAGTGTGTCATAGTCAGTGAATAAAATGTAGCGTTTGCAGCATTCCCTGTATTCTGCATTTTTCCCCATTTATGAGTCTGAAAAAACACACTTCAGGTTTTGCTCTATCTAGCTAGTGTTTTTGTGTTTGTTTGACTTTTTTTTTTTTCAAAATGGATTGGAATATTTACAAAATTAATTTTTCAATAAATAGGTTTCTTTAGTTAAGCAAGGATCAGGTATTTCTCTAATCTTAAAGGCACATAAACTGGACTTTTTGTTTTCCTCAGCAGGACATTTCAATTGCAAAAGTAGAACAATGTTATTTTATTTGTCAATGCTATTTTCTTTCTTCAGATTCATTTTAATGAAGTTGTTACAGGGGAAATACCTGACAGATCTGTAGTCTCAGTTCTTGTAATTATTAATGTTAAACAACACATGATTAACTCCAACCTTTACATGAATGAGATTTACAGACATTTTGAAGCAATTTGTTCTCTTTTGTTATTAAATTTTAGAGACCGAAGAAACCACCACCTCCATCAGCTCCTGTTATCAAACAAGGATCAGGTAAGGTGCAGCTGATTTTGTACAGCACATATCAGTGAGCACATCTCATTCTAAATTAAGAGTATTCAAATGTATATAGAATGAATCTACATCAAAATTGGAGGTGTCTAGACAGCAAGTAATAAATCAGAATCAAATTGCAAAAAGATTATAACACTGAAAGACTGTAGTGTGCTTTTTGAATTTATTGCAGGCAACCATCTGCACCATTTTAAAATAATGTATTTTGCCTCTTAAACATGTTAATTTGGGGCGATTGTGATACTTCAGTTTTTAAAACTTCTCTAGTTCCATTCCTTGACTGAAGTTGCTTGTGTGCATGTATTTGCAGTATAGACCCCATATGTTGTGGTCTAGTAATACCTGCAGGAGAAAACTGCATTCAGTTCACACCTGCTAATCTGATTTATTCTAGAGATAAAGAGCATTTTTGTGTATCTAAAAGATAGTGTCAGTTTCCGTGAAACTTAGAAACAGTTAAAGTACCTGTGCTCTTGATAGTTCTGACTTCAGAAACCAAGTTCCTGTTTGCATTCATGTAAAATCACTAACCACAAGGCATGGGATGCTCTCAAGAGTTTTCATTTGTATTGCAGTTGTGGTGGAAACATAACTATGAGTGGAATTCTTTAATCCCTTAACTCTAGTTGGTTTGTTAAAATTCCCCCACTGCTTCCCCCACTGCTGGCGCACATGAAAAAAACAAAATGAGCACGTCCAATCTATCCAGGTTATTTTTCTTGTCACTGTGGTCTGTTCCAGCGTTCAGTGCTTTAAAAACTAAATTTCCCTCTCCTACAGTCTTGATCTATTAATACAAGAACAAGTTACACCAGTGGGCAATTTACTGTGAATCAATAGGCTATAATTTAACTAGTTGGAATTTGTCAAGCAGTTTTTTGACTACAGAATCGTGACTACAAATATTTTGTTTGCTTATTGACACCCATGGTTTATTCTTCACTCTGTCTTGAGACTCCTAAAAACATTGATTTGATTTTAAGATCAGTAAGCGTCCAGTGAGAGCAGTGTAACTTTGCCATCTAGTGGTGGATGCATACTAAAGATGTCTTAGTGACAACTGATATTACAGCCTGATACATTTTGGAAAAGATCTATAAAACTTTATATTTCTTTCCATTTATACTGCTATAATTAGAGAATAATACTTTTAATATGTTTGTACCTGTTTGCACCCAACGCATTAGCTGTGTCACAACAGCAGGATAATGTGCCCGCTTTCAGAAGGAAAAATAGATGCATGAAGGGTGCAGACAATTTGATTAAGGCCATCTAAATCTGTGGCAAAGCCAAGGCTATTGCTGTTCTTTGTTTTCATGCTCAGTGTTTGATTAACCCTGGCTGATTATGTACAGGCGTTTCTTCTGTTACATGTTTAGAGGTGAAAATCAGCCTATGTTTATTACTGTCCTGACATCCTCTACTTTGTCAGATTATCACTTCGCCAAGATAACACTGTATTTTACCACATCCTCATGTCAGGCCTTAGTGTTGGTAGTAGGTAACAATTTCCAGTAATGTTTCTGCATATTTAACCAATCATAGTGTGTTTAATAAATTGAGAACTGTCAGTTGCAGCCCAAATAATTAAATGTCAGTATCTTCTGATACAGAGCATAAAATCATAGCAAGAATCAGAATTGGCCTTTGTAGTACAAGCAGTACATCTGTAAAGCAGGTGTCTAGTTTGTATTATAGTATAGCTGGAAGTTTGGCTGTATTTCCAAATTCTGCACAGCAGTAGACTGCCAGGGCCATCTGTGCTGGACTACTTTACAAAGCAAGGTGAAAACTGTACAACCAAAGTTAGGAGCATGAAGTCCTTACATAGTTGTTGAAAAGCAGTGGGCATTTCACTGGGTAGCTGGGGTAAGCAATACAACTGCATCTGAACCAGAGGATGGGAATCTCTGTTGAGGCCTTCTGGGAGCTGGTACAGAGTTCACCAGAGCTTCCTTGCAGGTGACCTTCTTCTGGCAGCTGAGGCAGGATCATGGTGCCTGCCTGGGCACTGATTCATCTGGGGGTCACAACCCAAGCAGGGAACATACCTGAGTCTGGGAGCTCCTAAGTGTTTGTAGGCTCCTTGTTTTAGACATGGTCTGAGAGTGTGTGTGTTAATGACTGTTAATCTTACTGTAATATTTAGATTTGTGTCTGTTTTTTCCTTGAACACACTAGTATGTGCAAGATTATCAAGATGTTGACTTGTGCTTTGTTTAACTTGTGTTTAGAAAGGCTTTAATTGGTTTCTAGCAACAGTTTCTCCTCTCCAGAGTGAAGTATTTTTCATAGAACCATAGAATCATTTAGGTTAGAAAAGACCCTTAAGATCATTGAATCCAACAGTAGAATGGAAATTCAGTATTGTTTATTGACATGATAAGTGATACAAGTGTTGCCTGTCCAACAGCACATTTGTATAAAGAATCATTGGCTGGTGATACCACTGATGAGCAATTTGCACTGATGAGTACTGATTTCTAGGAACCAGCTGCAGAAAAGAGTTGCAACAGCACATTCAGAAAATGTATTTGAGAATTGCATGTAATAGAATAGATTTAAGCAAAAATTTGCATTGTGTTCCTTACCCTGCCTCCTCTGCTTTTTTTGGATGTCATCTACTGTAATTTTAATTGAAATACTAACAGTGTTACCTAAAGCAGTTTTCAACACTGCTAAATTGGAATGGCATTAGCACCTAGTAGTTAGCCAACACAGTGAAGCCAATATCCAGTAAAATATTTCTTAAATAATAGGCACTAGAAGATTATATCTTGCATGTGCCAGGAAATTTTTGCAAAATCTTCCAGTTGTTGACACCACAAGTTCCCATATTCCCTATAGCAACAAAAGTCAGTATGTACAGTTCTCTATTACAGAGGCAGAAGAAGGCAGAGGCCTACACCTCCGGGCCAAGAGCTGTCAATTAAAATAGTCATGCAGAATACTGTCAGTGCTGTTATTCTCATCCTTCTAATATGTGGAAGTGAACAGCTAGTGCTAGGGGTGAAAAAGAGAGCAGTTCTAACTTAATGTAAAATAAACCCTGTATATCCATCTATATTAAGTATTCTCTTAAATGCCAAATTAATTGATTTATTACTAATGACTCTCCCCACTGTTGAATTGCTCTTCAGTTAAGTATGTCTACAATGGTAAAAAATCTGTCCACATTTAAAAATCTGTAGTTATTGAATGTGGTTTGTTTGGGGTTTTTTTTACACAGAATGGTCTGAAAGTGCATGTTCTTTTGAGGTGCGTGCTTTGGAAACTGTCAACTTGATTGTGAAAACATAAACATGCAATTGCTTATTTGTCATTTTGCTGTAAGCAAATACTTGAAACCAGATTTATGTTCAGTTTTACGAAGACATTTTCAAATTGGAGAATGTAAGAAGCCTAAGAAATTGCAGAATTAAATCTTACATGGCTGCACATGCTGGTTTGTTGGCTTGTTCAGAATTCCAAATTTTCCTTTTTTTGACAGGTACTACAGATCGAAAGCATGAAATCAAAAAGGTACCTCCTGAAAGGCCAGAATGTCTTCCTAATCGAACAGAAGAAAAAGGTATGCAATGTGCTTTCCTGCTTGCTCTCTGCAGATAGACAGGGGAAATGGAACTGATGCACATCGTCATTTCCTAGTCCCTGTTTTCATTAAGTGTGTTGTTTGGATGTTTATTTCCTACTCTGATAGATCTGTGATGATATGCATTTTGGAAAGGATCTCGTTGCTTTTGGGCTAAATTCAGGGTATTCAATTGTACCAATGCAGAGCTGGTTCAATACCTGCAGCCTTAACTGAAGTCAAGGGGAGATATGCTCTCAATACATAAAATGCTGTCTAAAGCTCTGTGCTCAGTAAACCCCAAGTACTTGATCAAGTAAAATACACCACATCGGTGTGTGCTTTTTTCTTAACATCTATATGCCTTGGTTCTCTACTTAAAAGCAGGGTTGGTGGTATTCATGCATCACAGAGGAGTTTTGTGAAAACTTAGTCATTAAAGCTTATGAATCACCGCATTATCATAGTCATAAAAGTCATAGGCAAGCCGGCAAAGAAATGAAAAAATTCTGTCTTCAAAGCCAGGATGGAACATTGGAAGAAATGAGGCACAGTACCACACCAAGCAGTGACAGGCAAATTAAAACTTCAGTGGTTTCATTGTGTTCATTGTGTACTCTGAATGGTTTGAGGAAAATAGTTACATTGAGTCTCTAATTGAAGATAGTGTCAAGTTTCATATGGTTAAGTGGACTATTATGTTGTGCACAGAAGTTTGTTTATGGGATCTCTTAACTTTTAAGTATTTGAACTTGCAGGCTTTTAAAAGGCAGGTGTATGCACGTGACTAAATGTATAATATGCAGTTACCATTTAGTGCCAGAACATTCAGGCTTTGCACCAAGATCTGTTTCTGGATATATGTCTTAGCGATCTGACAGGTGTTTTAGCAGTTTTGTCTACTTATGTTTACTTTTAGTTATGTGCATTACTTCTCATGGTTATCTTTGCAGTAATACCCTTTGCTTTCCATTTTTGGATTTACAAAGCCAACTGTCGATACAGTAGATGAAGCTTAAATATGGTACTGTCCCAGGGTATAAATATCTGTAACTTTTCTAAATGTTGAAAAGAGGCCACAGGAGTCATGCCTATGTTTCTGGAGTACCAGGGAGTGACAGGAATTGTGTGGTGTGGCAGCAGGAGTGGCACAAGAATGTTCTTTGCGCTATGTGTTGGTACGCTGCCTAGCCCGTCACTCATGCACAGTTTAGATTCTTGGACACTGACGCAGTATAAATTGTCATAGGAATAAGCGTGTAAAAATTACACAATGCACTGGAAAAGCTTCAGTCTTACAGAGGACCTAATGATTGCATCAACTGAAAGTGTACTGGAAAAGGGTAGTGCCTGTGAGCAACAGTCACTTACTGGACTATTCCAAATCTGAAGTGGATTGTGTTTCTGGTGATTTATTCCATGATTCTGTCATTCAGAAACCTAGAACCCATTAAGCAATACCCTGTGACATCCCTAATACCTCTTAGGTGTATACAAAGGTGTAACGTTCGTGACGTACCATAGACATTTTTTGCCAAGGTAAGTGGGATCTTGACTAGTAGGATTCAGAGAGCAGAATTCTGGTCCCTTTGAGAGTTTTGTCCTTTCTTTAAGAAGAACCAGGTTTCCTTTGCTGTGGCAAATGTGTTTACATGTTTGTTTTGTATTATAAATTTAGACCATATTATTTACAAGAGTTATTCATGTGTATTGTACTTTACTTACTCACAGGCATTGCGTGTTTGGCATTGAATATTAGTATTGTGACGCTTCCTAACTATGCATAATCAGTTCTGCACATAATCCAGTTTCTTATTGGCAAACTGTAAAATTCAGCACACAAGTCTGTGCTTAAAAATCTAAATAAAGGTCTGATTTTTCCAAGAGGTTTACAGCCTGCAAAACATCGCTAAATTTTAATGCTTGTATTTTCATCGAAACACACTTTTTCCCCCCCAGAAATGGTATTTCTGTGTTTGTTCAAGAGATGTTAAGAATATCCAGCATAATTGTCTTTGTGACCTTTTAACTTAATATTGTTTCATATTAGAATCTGATATAAGTTGTGCTCATGGGAAAGTGTTCCATATGGTATCTGTTTTTTGCCATTCTGATTTTCTACACTCAGAAATCAGTAAGTTACTAAAATAAAAAAATAGCATTCCCATTCAGACACTGCACACACACATTTCGGCCATGAGGAATTACAACAAGCGGAACAGTCACGCAGGGCAAACAGCTGATTTGTGGTAAACATGTTATTTCAAATAAAGAATGATTTAAGACAGGAGTAGAAAGGAGGTAAATTATTTCTTTGTGTGCAGTGTATCCAGAGTTGAAGATTTCTTGTTTAATTGTAGATTTGTGAGTGCAAATGAATTCCACTTAATAATATCTGTGTTCTTTTTTTCTGGAAATAATTGATTTAAAGAAAGATCAGAGAGAGAGCAAAAACAGTTAGACTTGCAGAAGCCTTCAGTTCCTGCTATACCTCCGAAGAAACCTCGGCCACCCAAAGCAAACTCTGTGAATAGACCTGGTACCTTGCCCCCGAGACGACCAGAAAGACCAGTTGTGCCTGCGACTCATACAAGGTATATTGGTTTTCCTTTGTCTTGTGCTTTTGGGATTAATGAAAAAAACGTACATTTAAGGAATTCAGATTTTACAGTTAATGTTACAATTTATTTCATGGTAAACTGTATTTAAAGAAAAAAAAGAAAAAAAAGAAAAGCCTTCTAGTCATGTGGCTGGTTCATAACTATCTTCTCAAGAATAACAGACTGTTCATCACTACTTCATTTCTACTGATGAACAGACTGTTACTGCAATATCATAGTTTCCACTTCAGAATATGTGGGAAATACCTGCATCAGTGTGTTCTGCTGATGTTGACTTTCTTAGCTTACCTAAAATTATTCCAGTTTAGCCAGGGCACTAAGTCAGTGTGAAAACTTGGATTGTACTGAGGAACAGCAATAGACAATGCACATTTCATATACTGTCAGCTTGGTTTCAGTCTGTTTTCTGCAGAATACTGCTGTCAAGTATTTATGCTCTGGTGTTGTAATGTTGCTGTCTGGTAATTCTATAATTACTTGATGATCTTTATCAGAGGTGGTTACAGCCTTTGAGGAGCACTGAGAAACTGGACTTCCAACACAACTTTATTTAATCCATGCTAGAGCTTGGAAAAGCAGAGGTTGCAGAAATTAAAGGCCTCCTCGCCTGTAGTTCTGATCAAGTCTAGATGGCTGCATTGGTCATCAGCATCTGGGTTGTGCCCTGTAGACTTCCTTTATGCATAGTGGATAGACACAGGTGAAAACCACAAAAAAAGCAGTTGCCTAAAATGGACATGCTGCACATCTTGCAGAAATACTAGAATATAGGCATAGAGAGATTTTTACTGTTGTACTGTTAGAAAAATTAGCTGCCATTGAACTACTGGAGTTCAAGTATAGTGAAATGGTGAATTAAATACCAGAATGGAGTATAAGGTTGAGTGGAATACAGTAGAAATCCTAGGCATTGATTCCTTTCATTCTTCCACATGTGCATTAAATAAAATGCTCTCGTTGTGAAATGTGAGACACATGAAATAAAAACATGGTGCCTGCCTTGTGCTGCCAGTTTCGTCTGACTTAGCTGCTGTGGCTTTGCATCTCTTAGAGTTTACCCTCCTATCCAGGTGCTACCACCACAGCTTCTTTCGGACTCCCTAGCTTTGAACATGCTTGCCCATTTGTTTCAAAATATAGTCCACACCTGCTGGTCATTTGGGCATACTTGGAAAAACAAGTATTTACTAGGACCTTTCGATTCAGCTAGGTGATGTCTTTTGACAAAGTCAATACATACCCTAGTGTTCAGTTCACTGGCTAGGCGTGTATAGGGTTAGCTGTTCTTTTGGTCTATCCTTTGCCTGGAATATTTTAAACATATTATAAATAGTTTAACCATTCAGAGTTGTGGAGGGGTGGATTATTGCTCTTCTGTTTTCCTTTTTTTCTAAGTAACAAGTTGTATAAATAAACCATGCATTTTTAAAGATATTTCAGTTTTCATGTTAACAAAGTGAAAAAGCAGATCTAAACAGTAACCCTGTTATGTTTTTAATTGTCCAAACTCTGTATGTCTAGCTTGGAAAAAAATAGGCTTTGTTCTTTTTATCTAATACTATATTTGAAAGAATTTTACTTGTAACAGTAGTTAGATTAAAACTTAGAAAAGGTGATTTTTAAGGTGATGATGATGCATGTTGACAATCACAGTGCTAGCAGTTTCCCTATGAATTACTTTATCAGCTAATTCAAATTAATGGGTTTATCTTATGTAGCTGTTCCGCCTGGTAAGCACTAACTTGTAAGGGTGTCTTGTAGAAAGAGGGCAGAAAGTTCACATAATGAAATAATCCACGGAATAGACTGAATTGCTTGAATAATTAAGAAATGTGAAACTTCAAATGGAGGCAGTCATTTCAATGAAGGTGCTTTGTTTCTAAATCAGTTCAGTTTAGTAAGGTAGTAAATATTTTTGAGACTTGCTGGTATCCATTTCCAGAATCTGAAAAACCTAAGGCAGTTAGAATAAAAACTGAACCAGCAGAATGACCTGTCATGGTGTAACCCCAGTGGGCAGCTCAGCCCCATGCAGCCACTCGCACACTCTCCCACAGTGGGAGAGGGGTGAGAATCAGAAGGACAAAAGTGAGAAAACTATGGATTGAGGCAAAGACAGCTTAACAGATAAAGCAAATGCCATGTGTGCAAGCAAAGCAAAATAGGGAATTCATTCACTACTACTCATCTTCAGACAGGTGTTCAGCCATCTCCAGGAAAGCAGGACTCCCATCAAACATAGTGGTGACTTGGGAAGATAAATGCCATATCTCTGCATGTGCCCCCCGCCACCTCTTCCACTTTCTTCCCCCCAGCTTTTATTGCTGAGTATAACATCGTATGGTATGGTATGGTATGGAATATCACTTTGGTCACTTGGGGTCAGCTGTCCCCTTCCAGCATCTTGTGCACCCCCAGCCCTTCTCGCTGGTGAGGCAGTGTGCAAAACAGAGAATGCCTTGATGCTGTGTAAGCACTGCTCAGCAACAGCTAAAACATCTGGGTGTTACCAACACTGCTTTGGTCATAAATCCAAAACATAGCATAGCAGGCTGCTATAAAGAAAATTAACTCCATCCCAGCCAAAACCAGTACATGATCCTAGGGGGAAAAATTGTTGTAGTTGTAAAGTGAGTCCCATGAGATTTCCATGGCTTCTGGTTAGCAGAAGAGGTGTTTTTTTTCTGTTCTGAGTAAGTGGCTTGCATCTTATGTATCTCACCGACTTTTTGTGGTGGTGATTGTTTTTCAATTTAAATATAATCCATTTTTATAATGAATCTCAACCAGTCTGTGTCCATGCTGCTGCTAACAGGGGCAGGTTCCCTCTCCTGGCAGCCCATTCCTGCAGCCTCCCTTATGTTAGCACCTGTGTTTGTGCAGCCGTTCAGCCATATGGGTCAGAGAGTGGCTCCAGATGGCAAGAATTCAGTTTTCAGGGTGATTTCTATTAGTGTGGGGTTTCTTTCAGACTGATCATCTGTCTGATCAAGCTGACAGTCTGTCAGGTGGGAGGGAGACACTGTGACCAAGAAGGGATGGCTTCTCTCCTTTCACAACAGTATGGATTTAGACTGGCATAATAAACCTGTTGATTCTTTTGGCAGCAGAGTTGGGTTTTTTTTGTGGGGTTGATGTCATATATCTTGGTATCTTTTGTAGTCAAATGGTAAATGTTGTAACTTTCAGCCCTAAATCACACCATCCTGAGAATCTCCTCCAAAACTGTGCCCACACATTTCCTAGAGTGCTTCCAACTCACACGATGCTCTCATTTTGCAGGAAAACAGATGTGTGCAAAGCAGAGTACACAGTCAGGTGCTCATTGCCCTGTCAGCCAGGAAACTATGTTGCCTCTTAGAGATTTAAAAATATATAAGCAATTTAAAATAAAAAAGTTAAAGACCAACAGATAAGAAAACTTAATTGACCAGGTAGATCATTTGGAGAATACCCTTATTAATCATCTTGCCAATTAAGACATTTTTCTAGGAATGTGTTAAATTTACTCTGTTTCCTTCCTGGTGCGTACTGCCTGCCATATTGATAGCTATGTAGGACTAGTTTGTTTTTCAGGTCATAAACTGGTTGTCTATCTTGTTTAGTTCACAGAGTACTTTTCACCCTACCACAGTGTTTAAATGGATTTATGTTCACTTAATCTGTGGCTTCCTCCATTTTTAAACACATTTTCAGGCTCTTTATCACAGCCTTCCTGAAGTCTGAAATAGGGTTTCCAGCCACTTTGTGTTTTGCTCATAAACTGCTGCCGTGAGTTGAGGTTCAGGCCCATCTGTCATCAGCTTATGGCATGAAAGGCAGAGACAAATGGAAAAATCAACGAGATTCAGCACCTCACTATGTATATTCCTGTCAGTGGCTGATTATTGCTATGCAGAGAAATGCACATCTGCCTGGGTCGTTTCAGGGACAGATCTGTATTTTTACCCATAAGTTGGGTACCTTACACATATCAGATGTTACAGCGCTGCGCTGGGAATAGTCATTGTGAAGAAACTATGATATCTGTTAGATGACTTGATAATGATGGTAATTATGGCATTAATTGGACAGTTGTTATCACAGTAAATGTCACAGGGATTTGTCTGTGTGCAGTGCCAGGCTACTCACCTACCACTGGGCCTTTTTTAATTGTTTCAGTAGTCAGATTACTTTAGTAAACTTAAGTAGTTGTGAGATATAAAGTTCTATGAAGAGAGAGTAATCACATTGCTTAAGTCTGAGCTCCTGTTTGATTTAAAAATAGTTGCTCTGTATGAAGTATCGCAACTCTTTGACACTTGTGTGTTCCAAAAACATTTTCAGACAGACTAGGTGTTCCGTTGTCTTGTTCTGTTGGACCTGTGGAAACAATATTCGTAGTCTAATCTCGTAAGTGGCATGCAAAAGTAAAGATAGGTCTTCGTTTGGTGGAGGGGCTGCATTTATAAGTAAATACTTGGAACTGCTGAAACACACAATGCTAGTGTGAGGTTCTCTGCCTTTCTCCAGTATTCTGCCTCGCCCATCGCTCTTGTTTATGCAAGCCAATTAATCAGAAACAATTACAAATAAGATCCTGAAGGATGTCCCTTTGGCCTTTGATTTCCTTCGTGATGAGATGCCGTGAACATCTGAAGAATTATTCAGTACACTACAGTGTCTAAAATAGGCTTTTTTGACAGGTGTTAAGGAGTAATGAGATAAGGTTAATCTATACAGCATGTCTACTTACTGGAGATTGCTCTCTATGACACATTGCTATTACTCTGGTGCTAGAAAGAAAGAATATTTCCCTCTCTCATTATTAATTGCAAGTTAGCTGTCAATTTGCTGTAACCTGCAAAAAACTCCAATAAAATGTCTCTTCTTGATCCAAATGCAGGAGTGATAGTCCAAAAGTGGAATTAGTGGGCAGTACAGTATCCAGCACTCTAGAGAAAGACTCCTCTGAAAGAAGCAATGACATCGGTAAGTTACAGTACTTTTTATAGTTTGCCTAAGAAATTGATGGTGTTAATTTCTGCTTTTTAGTGACTTTGTTATGATCCAAAAGGCAGATTGAGGATTTGGCAATGGATGTGAGTGCCTTAATATCAAATCTTAACTGCAGGGTTAAAGGATCATTTCTGTTTTACTTGAAAAAGTTTTGTTGAGGTTTTCTGTTTAAAACAAATAAAATTAAAAAGGAATTATGGAATGGTGAGCTATTTTGAATAGGAGGGCTTTTGTTATTTCTGTTTAAAAGTCTGAAAGAAGTGAGGAGGCCAACAATAATGAGTCATATTAGTTTAACAGATGTAATATTAGTGCTGCCATAGTTTTAATGCTGCAAAAGATTGTGGGTTTAGTGCATTTAGTAATCTTTACACTTTCCAATACAAAGGAATAGAAACCCAGTTCAGGCTAATTTAAATAAATTTTACTGCAAACACCAATTCAAAGCAGTCTAAATTTCTCTTGAATGTAATAACTTGTGTTCCTGCAACATGACCTGTTTAATTGGGAAATCACCTGGAAAGGAGTAGCACTAGGTTATTTTTCTGTCTTCTCTCACCCTCCTTCCTTCTCAAGTTGGCAGCGCAGGAGAGATGTTTGCAGGGTGGGTGCTGCAGTAAGTGCCACTTGGAAAGCGAGGGTCTCCAACTCCGGTCCCAGGGCTGTAAGCAAAAGCTGCGACAGCCATCTTCCACCTCCACTTGGAAATACGGCGGCGACAGCTGCTGCCGTCGCTCTCCTCTGCAGTCGCAGCTGTGCCCCGAGAGACCCGTTTTTGTAAAAGGCAGAACCAGGGTACCCTGAATGTGTAAGCATTGCTTCCTTTCGCTGGCGGCATTAAGTGTTATTTCAGTGTGGTGGTTTCTAGTAAAGCATTTCTGTGAAGTAGTAGACTTTCAACAGCCAAACCTGCCTTTTCTTCAGACTTGAAAGTGGAGTTTTAAGTTATAGATGGATTTTATTTGCAATGTAACAATAAAATGCTAAATTGATTTCACATAGTTTTATGAGCATTCATATGTCTGTGATTTTTAACTGTCTGCTGTTGCAATGGTTTATGATAATAACATTCTTTTGGAGAAGCAGGTAGTGTGTTTTTTCCAGATTTTCATTTGGGATAAACATGGAAAGCTAGAAGCTTGTGATAAATTGCATGAACGTTTTTATTGTGGAGATTAATATAAAGGAATGGTATGGAAATGGAAGTAAAATTCTACCATTTAGTGTTTGTTACTCATGTTTACAAATTTGCTTCAAAGCATGAAAACCTTTTCTTACTTGAAAGAGAAAGCTATGTCTGCAAATAGCATATAGTGGTGTCATGGAAGTAAACTTTTTTAATCCTTGTGCTAGTTTTCTTGGAATCACTACAAGGATAAAAGCTTAGAGTGCTTTGTATTTTTTCTGGTTTGTTTTGTTTTGTTGGGTTTTTTTGGTTTTGGTTTTGGTTTTTTAACAACCTATAAAAGGTTAGGTAGGTAATTTTTCATCATTTCCAGAACTTAGGTGAGGTCCTTCTGGTGTTTTTTGTTTTGTTTTGTTTTTTTAAAATTGAGAATGTTGCATAGGGTTTAGCTGGTGACCTCCTGTTACCACTAACAAGGGGAACCTACTGAGCCCAAGGATGAAATAGTGTGAATACTTAGATAAGTATAACTTGATAGGGTCAAACCAGAAGGGCAAAGCATGTTATTCTAGCCTGCTAGACAACTCATTAAAAGGAAAAAGAAGAAATCAATTATAATTTTGGAATGGAAGTGGACCTGAAGATGATAACTGTTTTAAATTTTCAGAATGCTTTTGACAGCTTGTGTAAAATATTGTTAATGAAATAAACAGTCTATTAGGAGAGGGTAGAGCAATAAATTAAAACTTAGTAAGCCAAAACTATTCACAGTGGATGAATGTCTTTTACTATGAGGAGAGGTTTGAAGTTCAGGACAGTTTATGGGGCAGTGTAATTGGAAAGATTTATGACAAATGTGTTAGATTTTTTTTATTTATTTACAAAGTGAACATTGGGTTGAAGAAATCTTGTGGCTAAATGAGTTATTGGTAAAAGTGATGTATGAGTGAATAGAGTTGTGCAGTGTATTCCAAAACACTGATATATAGTGATGGAGGTGTGAGTCCAGATAATATTTAACTGTGCTACGTGCTACCAGTGTTGCTCCAGTGTAGTATACTCTGTGGGGAGGACAGCCTCAGCTTCTCTGAGGTTCATCTTTCCAGTCAAAATGGATCTGATTAAATGTACCATTTGATGCCTTTTCAGTAATCCAAATTTACTCAATAAATTAGAGTAGACCTCTGTGACAGACAAGGTGGGGCTTAGTGGTAGTCTTTAAAGAAAATGGAAGTTTTCTGGCCTTTGCAGCAGTTCAGGTGTGTGACCATTCTGGTTAGTGTGCTCCTCTTCATTCCTCCATTAGCCTCAGTACCATTCCCAAGTACTTACAGTTCTCGGGGAGGACAGAGGAGAAGGCAGCAGTGAGTTGCAAGTTGCCTCACCCTCTTTCATGCTTATACCAAGTACTGATGGTGAATCGTGGACTGAAAATGAACACTACAGCACTCTCCTGGCTTTTTTGCACTAGCAATGTGTAAACCTGGATAGTGGCTGTTGCTTTCTCAGTCCTATAGCCAGTCTGAAACTCTTCTTTCATCCAAAGCAGAGGGATGTGCAAACGCACTGGGGAGACAGATTTGGTTATAAAAGCAAACCGCACTAAAGCTGGTTGGAGAGCGGTTTGCCATTCTGTGAAACCTTTTTAGGGATTTCTAACTTAGTTCCTTTTCCTTATTATAATGAGACCAAAACCTTTACAAGAAGAGAGGAGAAGGTATAGAGTCCATCTATATGCCATCTTCCAAAAACAAAACAAGTGATCAGCAACAACGAAATGAGTAATTGCATCAATAATTGAGAAGCAATATGCAGAGGGGAGTTGGGGAATCCAGGTTCAAAACTTGTTTTCTGTCTAAGTCTCCTGTTCTTCTAGATCAATGTGTAAACATTGCTTGTTTCAGAAAAGGCATTTTTCTGTTTGTTTTTTAAGTGTTGTCTAACCAGAAAACCCCACACCTTTAAAAAAACCTTTAAAAACATTCACTCAATATTCCCAGTCAGGAAAGTCATAAATACTTGAGCAAGGCTGAGGTCTTGTGTAGGGCTGTGCATAACATTCTGTCAGTTGCATATATAAGAAGTTATTTTTATGTAGTTGTTAGCGCATGGCTTGATTTCACTAGCGTGTTCTGTGGAGTTGTGACATGACATTTAAATTTCTTGATGAAAATACAGCACTGATTACAATTTTGCAATCTGTACTGACAAGAGCAAGTCGTGTTCAGCAACATCACTGCTGATTGTAGATATAATGGCAGCTATTACTACTGTTGTTCATGTCTTTGCTTCTTTCCACAATACTTAGAAAAAAAACATTGGAAAACTAGCCTTCAGATTATGTTATTTCAGAGCAACCATTCCTCATTCCTCCTCACTTCTTTTGTTTTCTTTTTCCCTGTTTTCAGTGATGCCTTTACTTTCCTTTCCACACATCTCTCATCCAGCTTTTCCTATTTACATCTCTTTGCCATGGGTAACTCTTCTTCATTTCATGAGGGTAAGGTGCTTTTTTTCCCATTTATTTTCTGTCCTTTCTTTGCTGTAGTTGACAATGCATATCAAACAAATACAAAAAGAAGTCTTTCATAGAACACCTAATGTGTATATGGCTATTACAGATTTTTTGAAATTAAAAGTTGAAATTGAGTGTACTGTGACAGAAAATCTTGCACCATAGCACTGAAATGAGAAATCACTATAGTTTAGTTTATTGTACTGTAAGAAATTGTAGTGGCATAAGTGACGTACAGTTTGCATGTAATGTTTGGCAATGCTGTGGTTTCATTAACCTGTTCTGACAGACAAATTACGTCATCACAAAGTTTAATGCATATATTTTGTCGTGATGTCCTTACATGTTACAAACCAAAAATATTTAGCAGCGTGCTAGGATGGTTCTCTAGTCTGAATGAGGAAAAAGACCCAATAAAACAAAATACAGAAATCTGAAGAGTTTTCACTGGCTCTCAGTGGAGCGGTTCCGTCACCCAAGACTGTCTGCAGTATTGCTGTGGTTAAATCACAGTAGTTACATCTGTTGAAAAGTCTCATGTACCAACTGTTTTGGATTGACAGGAGCTTTTTGAACTTAATTTAAAATGTTTCTAAAGCAATGTAAGTTACACTGAAAGTAAGCCCTGTTCTACCAACAGCAGAGTAGTCCTTATGTAGAATTACATTGATTTCAACAGCTTAAATTCATGCCTTACTGCATAAATTGCCTTTTTTTTAGGTTATGTGTTTCTGTTTGATTTCACAAAGAATTGTTATATGTGAGGACCAGTACAGTGACAGAAACATCTAGCACATATAATAGCTTACTGGATCAAAAGCTAGTGCTTCTAGAAAATTACTGAATTATTCTAATTAATTACTGGTATGGATTTATTTCTGCAAGTCTTTTAACTGTAAATGTACACACACTCTGAATCCTGCAATCCTGAAACAAGTCTTGCCAATCCAAAATGGGCTTGCTTTGAAATCATCGAACACTTTACATCATAAGGATTTAAGCGAAGTGTTTGTCGTGGTTTAGCCTGGCAAGCAGCTAAACACCACACAGCTGCTCACTCACTCCCCCCACTTCCCCAGTGAGGTGGCAGAGAGAATCAGAAGAGTAAAAGTGAAGGAACTTCTCAGCTGAGATAAAGACAATTTAAGAATTAAAATAAACCAAACTGAAATAATAATAACAATAATATATTTTAATAAGAATAGGAACAATAATAAGGCAATCAAAGTTATACTCAGCTCACAAACAGCAGTTGCTGGCCATGCCCCAGTGAAAACATGATGGGGGAGGGATAAGCCTCAGGAACCACATGAGCTAGACCTTAGGAGATGG